CCACATGGCAGCTAACAACTGTCTGTAACTCCAGTCCCAGGGGATCTGACAGCCTCTTCTGACCTCCTCGGGCATTGCACGACACGGGTGTACTTACCTACATGCAGGCAATACACTCATACACATAAAATAAAAATAATAATAAATAAATAAATATTTAAAAAATTAAAAAATAAATGTACTTGAAGTTTTAAGTTTTGCCATATATAGCTGTGTATAGTATATGTATATATAATATGCATACATTTAATATATGCCCTACAGAACTTCATATATAATTGCTTTCTGCTCTTCAGTTTTAAACATTTATTATATTCCTTGGTGACTATTGTGAGCTAAGAGTTCTGTAGAGATATTTTATTTAGTTTCCAAACATACATGACTTTTTAAACTCTCATTTTCTTTACTTCTGATTTTATTGTATTATAATTAAAGAAGCTAGTCTGTAGAATTTATTGAGGCTTCTGTTATGGCCTATCTTAATTCACAGTTATAAAAACTCCTTTGTTTAAAAGGAATTTGTTCAGTATAGAGTTTATTAATAGCTCAGTATTACAGCTTACATAAGCTCAAGCATATTAATTATATTATACTGTTCTTTCATTTTTCTGCTTAATTTCTCTGTTTGATCTATCAGTTTCAGAAACAGTTGTAATAAATTATATAACTAAAATGGTTGTTTTATATATTTCTCCCTTTTATTCTTAGCCGTGGCTTAACAAATCTTGAAACTGTATTATTAGTTGCTGTATGATCATAATGGCTTTATCTGCATGTCCCTTTTCTCATTTACTGGCATAAGATTTCCCTTCTTGTCCCTCATGATGTTTTTCCATTGATTTCTACTTTATCAGACTCGAGATTGCTGCCTGTGTGTTTGTAGAACATGTCTGCAATCTACCATTTGGGAAGCTGAGGCAAGAGGATTACAAGCTTGAAGCCAATGTGGACTACATTTGTCGAACACACACACACACACACACACACACACACACACACTCGGCAAATCTCAGCTTATTTGCCTAGAGTACCTTTTTTGATCTTTTTAATTTTCAATGTATCCATGTTTTTAAATATATATATATTCTTAGGACATAATATTAGATCTCACTTTCTTACCCATATGAGTGTTGCTCTTAATTGAAGATCTTGCCTATTTCCGTTTATTGTCATTTTAATGACCATCATTATTTCTATCACCATCTTATTTTTATTTCCCATTCACTATCCTTTCTGTTTGTTTCTCTTTTTCTCCTTTCCAGTTTACCATGTCTTGATCAGATTTAGTTGAAAGGTGTACCTTTTATGTAGTTACCCTTACTAAATCAAAAGTTCCTATTAATAACTTACAGAAATAATTTCTTGCCGCTTCTCATTAGCATAAGTACTTTTATAGCTTCTCATGTCTCTCTGTTTTCCCCACCTCCTCTAC